TTTGACGCACTAATGAGCAACCCTGTATATCTGCGATAGCAGGCTAATTGGTCTGTAGTTTTCTATTTGGGCTATATCTTCTTTCTTGTGTACAAGTATTATGATGGACTTATTCCATTGATCAGGCGTTATGCAGTTTCTTAAACAAGCATTGTATAGTTTACACAGTATTTTTAGAAATGCTGATTCTCCTAGTTTTATATTTTCGGTGCTAATTGCGTCATCTCCTGGCGATTTATTGTTTTTCATGTCTTTTAAGCAGTTGTTTATTTCGCCTTGAGTGATTTCTGGGATGTCTTCTGATCCCTCGTTTTGTATTACTGGAATGCCTACGCCAATTTCTGTTGTTGTAGTTTTCTTATAGAGCCTCGCATAGAAGCTTCTCACGATCAGCAGGTCTCGCTTATTTGTGGTGGTTTGTCCGTTCTTGTTGTCAATTATCTTACTTAATTGCTTCTTACCCTCTGACAATTTTTTCCTAAGCACTTTCATTCCCCTGTTTTCCTCTATGACCCTAGTTATTGCCTCTGTTTTGTGTAGCCTTACATCTTTTCGGATAGCATTTGATATTTCTTCGTTGATTTCTCTTAGCTGAGTGGCATTGTTTTGATGTTTGTCTGTTCTTCTTTTTTCTATCAACTTCTTAGTACTATCACTCAACTTTTTGACCTTAGATCTTGGTTATCTACAGTCGCGTCAACACTATCCATAAGTAGGTTTTGAGACAAGTTTTAGGATGTTAAGATAAAGGTTTATAGGAGTTTACAGCTTGCTATCTTGAATTCCTAATTGAATTAGGTGAAAGGTTAATGAAATTGGTGAAACCCTAATTTGACTATAAGACTTTTGGTTCGAATAGTGGGCTGTATAAGAAAAACACTGAACTGAAATATATAACTACTCTCACTATATTTCTTTAGATACTAGTGTTTTAATTTGGGCTTCTTAAATTGTACTTTTACCAGCGACGACCAAATGTAAAAATTCTAGAATAAAGCCGTTGCGCATCGGGCAACCCTCCCTTACATTTAATTGGTGACGTTGCCGCTAAGCCTTAAACCTAGCTTCCTTTACATAGGAATGGCGGAGTTGCCATTTCCTAATAATACCTAGCCCTTAAAGGCCTTTGAAGACGCCTTCTGATTCATAGCTTCCCTACGCAAACATCTTTAGGTAGTTGGCCTGCGCCAGACAGAGACGGCCGGGTAAACGTCTGTCGGGGCTTGCTCTCCAACTGGCTCGAGTGTTAGAGCCGTTTCACACGCTTCTCACTGGCGCTGCTGAGAAGCGCGTTTTGAAGGTACATTGATTTATAGTAAAGTATGAGTAAAGCTGGATTTATAGTCGCCGTGACGTAAAACGTAAGACGTAAGAAAATAAACCAATGAATGCAATAATTGTAGCTGTATCGAAACGCTAGACGCAAGCCGAAATGGTTCAATTCCATTTCTTGCGTTACGTCTTACGTAAAGCGTTGCCATTCCGCAACTTGCTGTTACGTCAACTATGAATCAATTTGCTGTTTTTCCTTGAGTTTTGCGTATTACGTCTTACGTCTTACGGCTTACGTTTTACGTTACGACGACTGTAAATCCAGCTTTACATCGAGCCATTCACACAGGCACGACCAAGGACGGACCACCAATTTAGCAGAGCTTCTGTGGCGTTCAGTGGTTGACTACCGCCGAGAAGCGCGTCAACAAGAAACGCCACTGATAGCGATACATTGGTTCAAATGCTGACGTTCACACGAGCCACTTCAGTCTGCTTCAGGTTAACGTGAGGTCCTCAGCAGTGCCACCGAGAAGCGCTAGTATAGC